TATTTAAATTTTCCTCAAATGTAAAACAGACATGACAAGGAATGAAACAAAAATATTCTAGTGAGGGCCAGATTCAGCATCTTGCAAGATCTGATTCTACATTTTATTCTCCACTTGAAAAAACACCAAAGGAGCACGTAGGTTATTGCAAACAATTTCAGAAGGTTATATCTTGGATTATGACTATTTTCTGACAATGAAGACAGGTTTATCTTTTAGATAAATTCATTATCTCAAAGAAAATCCAAACAAACTCGGAGATATTTAACTAGCAATACACCCACCAACACACGTTTTCAAATATGTTGACCCCATTTTCACCAAAAATGCAATCATTTTTTACAATGTTTAATGCACTACTATTCTTTATTTTGATGTATCAGTTCTTAAAAGAAAAACTTAATTGCTTTAAGATAAGTGTTCCCCATGTTATTTCTCCATTGAAAAATCTCATGCTTTCCATTGGTTTCAGTTCATTTTGGTCATCCAAATTCAGTATCTTTAAAGTCCCTGGAGCAATCAACTTTTCCTTTTGGGAAATCGAACATGTCTCAAAGCACATTCTAATTATGCATTCAACAATATACACGGTGTATAACCCAAACGCTCCTACATGCACAACGGAGCGTTTCATTACTGAAATTAAACAAAGAAACGCTCTGGAGTCGGAAAACTGACTGGCGGGAATGATGAGCTGTCTGACGATTTCCCCAATAATGGGAATAAGAGGTATGAGTTACATATTTCGAGTATACCATTCGCAGAGCTGTCAAGTGTCCCGCGAATGGCGGGATTATCCCGCGAATTCGATCAAAATTAGGCTAATTCGCGTGTCCCGCAATGTCCCGCGAAGTCCCGCAAATGTGGCTTTCGACCTCCGCGAATTTCCGAAATTGTTGCAATCCCCTATATTGTGATTATCTAATCTTATATAAGAAGCTAAGTTTTTGCACTTTTGAGGAGTAAAGTTTACCTAATTTTAAGTACCTAGCATGCTGTTGTTTGGTATCAAAATAAAGAGGAAGGGTTCAACTTTCATTTTAATTACGACAATAGGGATGTAGGTCAAATAGTTCCAACGTTGGCCTTTTTACTATCCGTGTGGCCTTCATCTCAGAAATGAGCAAATGTTAGCAAACGCGAGTTACAATAAATGGACGCTGATATCTAGAAAGGGTTTGTAGAAAAAACCGGGTACCGGGTAGTAAATCCTCCATGCTGGGTTCAAACTTGGTACCCGGTACCCGGTACCCGGTCAAAAAACGGGTAAGCTTACCCAAAAACAAAACGAATATACGAGTATAACATAATTAGATTATCAGAAAACGTGTAAGATTTGTTTTATATTTACAAAAATGTGTGTAACATCCTTCAAAATTGAGCTAGAAGCTTCAAATAAAAAGCATATTTTAAGGCTCTTTTCTTCCTCTATCGTCATGACCATATTTTCATCGGTTATGGGGGGGGGGGGTGCGATCGCACCATCGCACCCTCTCCTGGCTACGCCTATGACATTGTAAGACATAACAATTTAGTGGACAATTCAGTGGACATTTTGTCGACAGTTGGGATAACTTAAATTATGATTAATAATCAAAATCTTACACATTGCATCATGTAAATTAACACACGTCACCTCTCTGCTAAAGCAACGATAGCAATTTACAGATTTAAATCATAATCAAAACAATTCACGTACCAACATACGAACTATTGAAAATAGAGTAAAATTGATTTGCCTTGTTATTCAAATCGTCTTACAATGTCATTGGCGTAGCCAGGTGAGGGTGTGATGGTGCGATCGCACCCCCCTCCCCCTTCATTACCAATGGAAATATGACCATTATGATAGAGGAAGAAAAGACGCTTAAAATGCTTTTTATTTGAAGCTTCTATCTCAATTTTGAAGGAAGTTACATACATTTTTGTAAATTCAAAACAAATCTTACACGTTTTCTAATGATCTAATTATGTTGTATATTCGTATATTTCGTTTTTTGGGTACCCGGTTTTTTCGACCGGGTACCAAGTTTGAACCCAGCATTGAGGATTTACTACCCGGTACCCGGTTTTTTCTACAAACCCTATCTAGAAACGTAACCTCATTCCCTATAATTTGATGTAGATTAATCGAAACCCTATACCATGGGCTTTCAATTGAAATAATATTTCTATGCGTATTTTGTGAAGTTATGTTGACGTTTATTTAAGTTACAATGTAACGGTGCATTATATTTGATTAATCAGTATCTGAAAGTTTGATTTAAGTACTTTTACACGCTTTTACATTAGTCCAAATCACGCAAATCCCTTGAATGTCCCGGGACATCCTGCAAATTTAGGTGGATGTCCCGCGAAATCCCGCAAATTTAGGGCACTTTTTCTAGAAAATCTGTCCCTCTATGAAGTTTTTGCTGGTAAACCTGTTAACTGTCCCGCAATTAGGGTGTTTGTCCCTCGAATGGTCCCGCGAAATCCCCCGAATTTGATAAAAAAAAAATTGGCCTATAAGCGCAATCACGCAAATCCCTTAAATGTCCCGCGAAATCCCGCGAATTTAGTAGATGTCCCGCAAAATCCCGCGAATTTTGGGCACTGGGTCTAAAAAATCTGTCCCGCAAGAAAATCTTTGGGGGTTGACAGTACTGCATTCGATGGGTGTGATATTCATGTTGTACTTGGCTGGCTGTTGACGTTTGAAGCAATTAGGAAGAGCTGTACAAAGCAGTATAGTTATCAAAATTCAAAAATGTATTTGTCATTCTACCGGTCAAAACCCCTTTTGTCGAGACATGTGATTAGTTGAGCTAAGATTAGAGCACCAACGTCTATTTTAGTCAAATTCCAATGCTTCAACGCACCATACATTATCGTAATAGTGATTTGATGACCGAAAATCCAGTCTTAGAAATGATGACATTCTCATATTCAAGAAACGCTCCGATCTGGTTAACACAGTGAACTGGAAACGCTCCGGTAGTCTAGATCAGTTTAGGAAATATGTAGCTTGCCTTTTCTTTTCAGGAAGAGAAAGAAAAGATCTATTATACCCCTTGGCATCAATAGAAGAAAGATTAATTCATATATCAATTTTCGTTTTTTTCTATAGTTTTATGATTTAGCACATATGTAGGCATGACATCATCTAATGTAGGCTTAAATAAGCTAGTTGCACGTTTAGCACCACCAGGTTCACATGTTTCAACTTGCCTAACAAGTACAACACGTTTTTGAGAGATAGGTTCGATTCGAAACTCTTCTCTAATAATCTGAAAATTATATCAAAACAAAATGGTAAGAGCGTTTCTAAAATTGTGTTCTAAATCGACGGAGCGTTTCGAGGAAAACAAGCGATTTCTCGAGAACAAGTAATGGATTTGGACTGGGATTTTAGGAAATGAGAATATAGTAGTTTGTGATCTACTACTTTAACAGAAAGATTAACGTTTTCATAGAAATACTAGTTTAATTCGTAATTTGTGGTCAAATCGTCATCTTCAGATTCGTTCGATCTACAGTACGGAGCTTTGATCAAGCAGATATCAGTTTACCACCAGAAGTTGAATACATCAGATCTTTGCTCACGGTATTGTTCATCGAATGGTACATAATATTTCACCATAGCATATGATATGTGAGAGAAACGAGAGGAACAATACTTACGGTCATAGTGGAATCTTCATTAGCCGTCATTTTATTTCGCTCCGGAGCGTTTCCGCGTAAATGAAACGCTCCGTCGTGCATGTAGGAGCGTTTGGGTTATACACCGTGATATAATACAAGAACACAAATGTGTACAAAATGTCCGCACCTATGGGTGATCCAGTCAAATGGTTATCCTAAAAATGAGTAGACAAGACTTTGCCGAAACAATTTGAGGACGGAAAATCCAAAATGGCCACCTTAAAATTTACCCAGAATGCCAAAAAATTAGTCAGTTCTAGATTTTCATACTAAGAACCACCCCTGAAAATTTGAAATTGATCCGTCACACAGTTAACCAGAAAACATGTAAACAAGACTTTACAGACGAGATTTGAGGACAGAAAATCCAAAATGGCTGCCTTGACATTTATCCAGAATGCCAAAAATTAATCTCTTCTAGATTTTCACTAGGAATCATCCCTGAAAATTTGAAATTTATCTACGAAACGGTTCACCTGAAAACGCGTGGACAAGACTTTACAGACAAGATTTTAGGACGGAAATATCCAAAATGGCCAACAATAAAAAAGTGATAATGAGTTTTTGCTGATTCTTTTTACAAAATTATCACATATAGCTACTGTTAACAATAACATAGGCTTTTACAACAAAGTACACCTGAAATTATTTATAAAGCTACTAAATAGTTAAAGTATGAAAACTGAAAAACACCATTCAATATGATACAAAGTATTATCGCGCGCTAACTTTTCTTAAAACATTCAAAATGGCTGACATGACTGAGCAAACAGTTCTAAAACCTAATAATCAGATCTAGAATGAAGTGAGCTGAACAAGATGTTAAAGTTTTAAAAGCAACTGTAAAGCCGTTTTTCTTAAAGTTTGCAGACAAGGATTTTAGCATTTGACTTCAAAATGGCCGGCAGGAAGTAGGTATCGAGTTAATTTTTATTATAAGTTATCCCTGAAAATTTGAAGGTGATATCTGTAGCAGGTTTGGAGAAAACTGCCGGACGTACGGACAGACGGACATACGGACAGACAGACGGACGCGCCTAGGCCGACAATATGGCCCCACACTATGTGGTGGGGAGATAAAAAGGCTGCATTTTTGGTGAAAATTAGGTCAACATTTTTGAAAAAGTATGTTGATTGGTCCATTGCCCCTTTAACATCACTTAGGTCTGATTAACTAAATTATCATTATATATACTTTTCTAGAAGATAATGAATGGATCTAAAAGATACACCCATGTTCATGATCAGAAAACATTCATAATTCAAGTTAGAATCGTTTGAAATTGTTTGCGATAACTTACGTGCTCCTTTCTTACCTCCTCTACTTGAAGAACTGGTTCAATATCCTCTACATGAGTTGCTCTGGTCCCCTCAACAACTTCGTTTAAATCCCTGAATTGTTCTGTATAAGGGATCTCAGTGAATATTGACTTATTTGATACTGGTTCTTCAACATATTTGGATAGGGTTTTCAAGTCGCTATTATACGGTCCTTCAAAAGCTCTTGACAAACAGTTCGATTCAATTTTAGATGGTTCAAAAACATTTTTACCAGAGTTCTGACTGGATATCACTTCCTTTACAGCATCCATGAGTTGGTGATGTATTTTTTGGCAGTACTTTGTGTGTTGTTTAGAGTAGTCTGTCACAGTTTGATCCATATCTAAGTCTCCAACCAGTGATTTAGTTTCAAGTGGCTCAGCGAGACTCTTAAGAAGTTTCACAGGTTTAGATAATTTGTAAGGTTCCTCATTAAAAAAGCTGGATGAGTTGGTGTCATTATTCCCTAATTCTTTTTCAATTTTGGTACATACAGGTGCTTGTATATGCTGTGACGTTATGTTACATTTATGGACATCTGTACTCGAATCCAATTGTTTTGATAACTCATCTATACGTATTCTTAATTCATCTTGTCTGAAATAAAAGTAGTGAATATAGACTAGAATCAGGGGGGTGAAAATATAATGACATCTTATATTATGACGAGCAGTGAAGTCATGTTTACCAAATGAAAGGAAAAGGGTTTCTTAATCACACCCCATTCTCTTATATGTCGTAACACCGGAAGTTTACGATGTTATACCCAGTATTTTCGGTGGGAGATTTGTAAGTACTCATTTATTTCGACGTTTGGACAGAATATTTCTTTCCCTTTCGTAGAAACATTGGCCATACCATGCAGATATACCTCTTGTATCACAGCGTCTCAACATTTCGTCTGAACACGGTCTAGAACTTCTCAAACCTTCTAGAAAGCACGACAAATTTTGGAAAGAAATGATCATTTTTTCACAAAAATGATCATAGTTTCTATAATTCTAACCCTATCATCTTAAAATAATGATTAGATAACAATGCAATTTTTATTCATCATCCAGACACTTCAGTTTTCCAAATCAATGAAAGAATTCTGACAAATTAATTTTTCTTTGAAGGAAAACAACATAAAGGAGGTTTACGTTTGCCATGACATTGTTTCTTTATATTGTCTTGATCTTACCTAACTAAACACATATTTAATAAGATTTACTTTGATTTAACATTAAATGTATTTATGAGTTCATGGTAATATCAATTTCTTTTCTTTTAGTTGGGTCAGTATTGGAGTTTCCAGGCCATGGAGGCTAAAATTGTCCCTCGGAGCAAAAAGAAAAAAGAATGAAATTGAGAGGCTTTACTTTTCCCCAAAGAGAATTTTGGTGAAAGCTCAGTGATGCAATGCCCATACTTTTTCATGCTGTAATTAGAAATAGCAAGTATATTATAACTTTTATTGACATATAGTATCATAACATGATTACATTAGTCAGAACTATGGTCTACATATCTAAACTACAAAACACTAACTAAACTAAAAATACAAAAATATATAAAACATATAAGGTAACAATAATAGTGTGGTGCACACACAATGCATTATGACCATGTTAAATTCTTAAATGAATGGTAAATAAAGATCACTCACAATAATAATATATTACTATAAACTGGCTGGAGATCACATGAGTGCATTGATTATGAAGATGTTTCAACAATGGAACACAAATGGCTACATTTTGGAAACACATATAATCAAATGATTCAATTTGAGCAGTGTTTGATTCAAGGAAACAAACATTATTATTTTTGCTCAGGACTCACTTTATAAATTGTTTTCCCTCATCGGAACTCACATTCTTGCCAATTTTTGCACCCTACGTATATACTGTAAAACGGGTATTGTTAGCGAGGGGTAATTAGCGATTGTTAGCGATCACTATAGTTTCGCTAAAAATTCAATTCCCTAAAATAAACCGGGGTTAAAATAAACCGGGCGCTAAAATTTGCAAATTCCCGGGAAACTACATGATACTAGTATTTAAGGAGCTTTTCGTTAAGTGCTCGACTTCCGGTTTGTAATTTGAGATTAGTTTGGACCGAAAAATCAATGATTTTAAATGCTACCGTGATTTTGTGATTAGTCAGATGAGATTACAGTAGTTTGGACCAATACCATGTGCGTTAGAAGTCTTACATTTTGATAATTCCTCTGTCATGTCCGTTATTCATTCTTCTGCCATAAATGATAAAATTTCTAATGCATTAATCTTCATTTCGCTAAAATTTCCCACGCTAAAACCCCCTAAAATTGAAAAATCGCTAACATTTCCCGGTGTCAAAATTACCCGTTTTACAGTATTTGAAGAGCACATTCTGCAAGTGATTGAAAATTCAAAATAACCGTATAACATAACCAAACCTTGAATTAAATTTGGACGGTTCTATAATCTGATAATTTCTGGATGGTCTTGAGCTATTTATTTTGCTGACTTAATTATTCAGGGTGGTTGAGACGTAAATTTTATTGAGGGATTTACTCGTAAATGAACCTTTGAAAAGACCGGGCTAAATTAGAGAAATATAAATTACTAGTATTCCCTTAATGTTCCAAATGAACAGAAATGGTCAACATATGGGATATATTTGACCACATTTAAGCAAAGGTTCACGTAGGTTATCACAAACAATTTCAGACAGTTATATCTTGGATTAAGACTATTTTCTGACCATGAAGACAGGTATATTTTTAAGATCCATTCACTATCTCAAAGAAAATGATATACAATAATAACCAGAACAACGGCAACGCCAAAGCGTAGCGAATCCCATCGAACAGAAAAGGCTGGCATTTTTACAAACGAAATATATAGCAAATATCATAAAACAACACACATAAGAAACGCCACCTTTTTCAAAATGGTTGCTCACTAGCCAAGTTGTCATCAGAAGAAGTAATATGCATTTAAGTAGCCACCTATAAAATTTTTTAAAAATCGCACACATGTACTTGTAAATGGTGGCCATTTTTTAAAATGGCCACCTTCTACCCAAAATGTCATTAGACAGTATGCAATGCTTATGAGTATTCATATATCAAATATGAACAAAATCGCTCTATTACTTTTTGAGTTATAATAAAAAATGTAAAATAACACACATAAAAATGGTGGCCATTTTTCAAGATGACGGACTACTCCCCAAAGTTTTATTAGACAATGTGCCATGCTTAAAGTATTCACATATCAAATATTAACAAAATCACTCCACTACTTTTTAAGTTACAGTAAAAAATGTAAAAATGACAGCCAATTTTTATAATGGCCGCTTACTACCCGAAATGTCATGAGACAGTGTGCAAGGCTCATGAGTATTCATATATCAAATATGAACAAAATCACTTCACTACTTTTCAAGTTAAAGTGAAAAACGTAAAAATGGTGGCCATTTTTCAACATGGCCGCCTACTACCCAAAGTGTCATTAGACAGTGTGCCATGCTTATATTATTCACATATAAAATATGAACTACTTTTTGAGTTATCGTAAAAAATAATAAATTCAGACTTGGAAATATTTAACTAACAACCAACTCATCAACACACTTTTTCAAAGATGTTGACCTCATTTTCACCAAAAATGCAATCATTTTTTACAATGTTTAATGCATTACTATTCTTTATTCAAATGGTTCTTGAAAGAAAAACTGAATTGTTATAAGATTAGTGTTCTCCATGTTATTTCTCCATTGAAAAATCTCAAGTTATCCATTAGTTTCAGTATATTTTGGTCATCCAAATTCAGTATCTTGAAAGTCCTTGCATGGAGCAATCAACTTTTCCTTTTAGGAAACAGATTATGTCTCAAAACACATTCTAATGTTGCATTCAACAATTTAATATAATAAAAGGTTGCATTTTTGGTGAAAATTAGGTCAACATTTTTGAAAAAGTATGTTGATTGGTCGATTACTCCTTTAATATCACATAGGTCTGATTAACTAAATCATCATTACCATATATCCACTTTTCTTGAAGATGACAGGTGGGTCTTAAAGATACACCCATGTTCATGATCAGAAAATATCCAATATTCAAGTTAGAATTGTCTGAAATTGTTTGCGATAACCTATGTGCTCTTTTGACCAGACTTAAGCAAATTTGGCAACATTTAAGTAAATTTAGCAAATTTTAACCAAAGGACAGGTGTCATTAAGAGCCCTTTTTAGCCCCCAAAGATATCTGATAATAATGCATATCATATTGAAGAAAAATCATTTGTGCTTTATAAAAATACAATTTCAGCGAATTTTGACCTTTGATGTTAACACAACAGTCATTTAAAGATCATATACCATTTTTGGTGTTTTTACAAAAAATTCTTTATTTATTGTTGTCTAAGTCAATAGTATGTAAATATTAACCAATTTAAATATATTAAAAGGTAATATATGAAATACTGAAGAAAAGATACAATTAAAATTGTTTTCATGGAAAGCACATAGGGCAATATTGACAAAATGCAAATGCTATTTTGGTAGGTTCTGGGCTAGCAATGGGTACATTTCAACTGTGACTGTAATGGATTACTATTGACTTTTATCAACATCACAGGGCAATATTTAAGCAACTTAAATACAAGGAAAATCAAAGATTTCCTCTCATTTCTAAAACGAGGAACAAAAGCATGAATTCAAGGAAAATAAATGATGGCCTGTGCCAATTATATAACATATGAGAAAGTTGTGGCACAGTAAAGGATATGTATAGGATATCATATGATTTTAAATGATTTTATCTTTATCTCCGAGTTGATATCAATATATTGCCAAGTTAGCATAGCGAATTAGCGCAGATATTGATATCAATGAGTTGGATTAACACAATATCACGAAAATGCATAGGATGTTCTATTTTTCCCATAGTTCACCTCTAAAACTAAACAAAGCATATCAAAACAACATCCATTCATTCATTCATCCCTGTGATGTCATGAAATTACGATGTAACAAAACACATCATATTGGTGGTAGTTTTCAAATCCCTGCCAAAAGGTGATATCTGTGAAATATTTTCCATATTCCACAGATATCACTTTTTCCACGCATTTGCAAAATATCATAAATATGTTTTTATGTTACCTAACAGAGCGGAAAAGAGTTCAACTATGGGATAAAGAATAAAAAATAGGTACATAATTGAATTACCACTCCAAATATATTAAATATGAGGGTTTAAAGAAAGAATATTGAATATGAGATTCAAAAAGACAAGTGGCCTCATGTCTCACGTTACCAAAACCCCAGATCCTTGATGTCATATATACTTGTATACTGTATATCAATGTTATTTACTGGGAGGATTAAATATGGAGTGTATAGCAATGGTCAATACGATATTTCCAGATGGATATTTTTCCCTAGAAGTGGAACCCAAACTCAGTCATGACATAGAAGCTAACTTTTGCAATTAATAGAAACTTGTTTTTTATTATATTTTTGTGTTCTATATTTGAGATGAAATAATATGAGATTCATTTCTACAAGAGGATGGAACGAATGTGAACTTGTATATTGAACTATACTCCTTTTCTGATTAA